CACTGACCACCCTCCATTGGCTTAGAGTGCTAACGTGAGCATTTTTAGACCCACACAACCTCATCCTTACCCCATAAAACTACATTCCTTTTATTGTGTAACACTGTCAAATTCCAAATCCATAGTATATAACTGGAATGCACTGTGCTTCTAATTCTTGTTGAATGTAATTTAATTTATAGCCTCATAGATTGTTCAAGATCAAATGACCCATAGTGATGAAGGCAAACAGTTGAGAATGAAAAAAAAAAATATGACCAGGGAGGTATCAGGAACTCTACACAATTGATTAATGACTCCATTATATATAAAACAAATCAAATTAGAGTTAGATTTTCCCTTGGTAATAATTTTGTTAACATCATTTCTTCTCTTTCCAAAATGGGTATACACCTTAAAACATGGGTGTTCACTTCAAAATGTATTTTTAAAATGCTCAGCATCCTTAGCTAAACAGAAAACTAAGTAGACCTTAATTGAGTCCACAGGTATAGTGATGATGAATATCATAGTTATTTGAAAAATAAGAAAATAATGGAATTTTCATAGGAGACTGTTGCTGGTTCCTTAAACTAAAGAATATATATTTTTAGAAGATAATTGAGTGAAGGGGAAATGAGAGCTCAGATGGCATTTCAGCTAAAAAGGTTATATCATTTGGCTGCTTTTTTATATTTACTCATATTACTTTTATTGAAAATAGACACCAATGTATGAATTTTACCCAATGTCTTCTTGCAATCAATTGTTTCTGTAATGATTATTTCATACGGAATACATTCTTTGATTCATTCTTGTTTTGAATGTATGTAAAATAAAAAATATGTCTTATGACAAACATGCACTTTTAGCATCATGTTTGCCAATGTAAAAAAAGACTCCATAAGTTATGATTTTGGAAATGAAAAGTAAACTTCTTAGAAAAAATATGAAAAATAATTATATGCTAGTCTTTAAAATTTCAAAGCAATAAATTTTGCACTTTAAGATTCCTTCTAAATATATATATATAT